TGGTGTGTGTGTCTCTTTAAATGCAATGAGCCCCCACTGAGTTTTCCCAGTAGACATCACTCCTCTGTGGCGAGAATAAAAATGGCGGACCTGCTCAAAAGTTTTGTTCTAGGCTGGGGGTGGAGTCCATGGGTGGAGAACCACGAGCGGGGAGGGGATTTTTTTTGACCAGAATCCCACTGTGACATCACAAGGAGAGCACATTTGAAACAGAGCATTATTCTCTGTGTTGTAAGACTTATACAGACCACAAACAAATGACTGGATGGGTTTATTTCACATTTTGTGGGTCAGTAGACACTCAGGTTACCCAAATATACGTTCAAAAACAGTGTAGAAGTGGATTTTTCATAATATGTCCCCTTTAATCTCATGGTGATTAATGCGTTCACGCTGACTGCGCTAGTTCCAAGATTTTACAAGTTAAGTGTATAAGTTTAACGTAACATTCTGCTGTTTCTCAAAGACGACGTCACCTGATGCCATAAGGAGCCAACGTGAGCCCTGAACTCATATCTTCTAAAACAAACCACTGCTTTAAAGGAATTCATTTACTTATGGGGTGAAACGTAAACGACATGAAGGTGAGTCATCACAGCTCGCGGGTCACTGGGTCGAAAGTGAGGACACAACTGACTGAGTGAGTGAGAGTTCAGCTCAGCTCGTTTTTAAAGCTGCCACTAGATACTTTTTTAAACTATTAATCCCTCCATCATCTATTCCACTTTTCCTGTTCAGGGTCGCAGGGTGCTGGAGCTGACCCCAGCTGTGACTGGGTGAGAGGCGGGGTTACACCCTGGACTGGTCACCAGCCAACCACAGGGCTGACATATGTACACAACCAGCCACACTCACATTCACACCTACAAACAATGAAGAAAAGTTACAAACTCTGTTATTTTAAAGGAACCAAAGCTTTAAAGAAACTTCAGATCTTTAGTCGTATTTTTACAAGAGAGAGAGATTTTTTGATCATTTAAAAAAACAAATGATCCAATAATGGGTGTTGAGGATTTTTGGTTTGGTTGCCATAGTAACGAAACAGTTAAGAGAATCATACGGATGTCTAATACTCCGGTACCTTGACAACACAAGAATTCCTAATCAAAGATCCGTGGTGAACGTTTGAGGAGATTTTGTCCCAAAAGACGTCCAACAACACGAAGCTGATCTGGTTCAGTAAACCATCGTTATCTTTCCAAAGGTTTTTGTTTCTTATCTTTAAATGACAGCTGAAGATGTTCCTATAGTGAAGAAACAAATATTTAAAAAAAGTCTGCTGTGTTTGAGTGACGTCATCGACCTTTAGCCGACTTCCAGAGCAGCAAGAATGTCTGAGCTCACTGATGGAGTTGATGGGATTTATTGATTCTTTAAAAAAGGTCATGCAGGAGTTTTAATTGATGCTCATTGTGGATGGATCTTTCACAGCTAATGTCAGTGTTGTGCAAATGTTTGTAAAAGTAAATACACACGTGTTGATCTCTGCCTTCTTTAGACGAAGCATTTTCACTTTCAGGTTTTTTATGATCTGATTTCAATCCTTTAAATCCTCTTTGAGGTAATGCAGCTGAGAGAAGGTTATCATTTTTGTCTGAAAGAATCTTTTCTAAACACATTTATGAAACGATTCATGATGTTGTTGATGTCACCAACGTTCAACCTTAAAGGCACAGTATGCAACTCTGACCCTAGTGTTTAAAATGGGTATTGCAGTCTCAATTCCAAACATAGTAGAGAGCTTTCTCCCCCCCCTCTTGAGTCGATGCTCACGCAGGTTGCCATGTGGTGGACACTGAAGCTTCAGTGTTTAGCCAGCTCTGCATCGGTCTGTAAACCTTTCTGTGTTCTAACCTCTCTCCATTTTTCAAAAGCATCTCCAATATTGATCCTAGTTTGAGCACGTTTCTGCTCGTGGAGTTTATTAGAAACATGCAGAGGCTTTTTAGGTCGGGTACAATCACTTCTATCTGAACTAGTTCTCTTGTCCGCTTCCATCACTGCAACACCTGTTGGTTTGACCTGATAACTGGTCTCATATCTGGTAAACCGAGGGGCGTCCAAAACGGCCGTGTTGGGGGTGCCTTAAAACCGCTTACCTTCTCTGGTCCAAACAAATCCAGATGAAACATTAGTTAGAGTTTCATGGCTTACATCAGTAACACAACTGAACTTTCTTCATCGTCAGGATTTTTTATCTGGCGTTTCCAAACAAAGGTTTGAATGTGTGTAACTGTGTAAACACAAACAAGCTGAGCTGTTCCTGGAACGTCTCTGTGTTCCTGTCTTGTTGTCATCCATCCCATTATCTGTGTTTTTATCACAAAGCATGTGTGCTGTCTGACTCATGATCAGGAAGTGTGCCGATCGATCAGCTGTGATGTAAAGAGTCAGGAATGTGGAATTATCTCCAACATGTTCACTGTCTGCACACTGTTGTTGTTGTTGTTGTTGTTGTTGACGATGGCGATGCAAAGGATCTATTTCAGCCACGTTGTCCAACCGACTCAGCAGTTTGTATTTGTTTCAAATGCTTTAAATGCAGAAACTGTGCATCAGAAATCTACTTTATTATATTCTTTAGCTGACCCAGGAGTCCTGACCGAGAGGGGCAGCAGCAGAACAATAAATAAGGGGCGGCTGTGGTTCAGTGGTAGAGTTGGTCGTCTCTCAATCGGAAGGTCGGGGGTTGGATCCCCAGCTCCTGCAGCCACATGTCCAGTGTGTCCTTAGGTAAGACACTTAACCCCAAGTTGCTCCAGCTGCTTCAGGAGTATATGAATGTATGAAAAGTCATCAGTCAGAGAGTCTACAGCCCAAAGTATTGTCTTACAACACCTTCACTCTACCTTTTAAAAAGATTTAAAGAGACCAGCTCCCTCAGACACGGATCGTCCTGCGATCTGTGTCTGCAGACAGCGTTGGGGACAGATAACAACAGTTTTGTGATGATGTCACAGTACGAGGGAAGCAGGTTTAGTACAGTCTCATAAATAAGACATGTCGGTGAATTAGTCTTTGAATGGTCAGTGCAGGCAAGCCGACTCGATCCTAGAGACAGTAGCGCTTCTAGTCTGTTGGGGCCCGAGGCAAAAATCTTTTGGCCCTCAAACCCGCGTTCATCACCATCATGCCTCCAAGTGTCCTGACGCTTACACCTCTTTTTCCTGATTCCTTTTTTTCTCCTATAGACGGATCATTCCCCTTAATTTCCTTTGTTGACTTTAATCAACTTTGGTCTTCACAGCAACGATGCATGCAACGCTTAGCAGGGTGACGAGAAAGTCATTGCTCTCAGATGGGGCCCCCTCAGGGTGGTTTTCAACTGTCATTGCAAAATTAACTAAATTTGGGCCTCTGCTTTGGCCCCCTACTGATCTGGGGCCCCAAACATTTAACTACCTTGCCTGTTGACAAGCAGCGCCTCTGCATCCAGAGTGCCATGATGAGTCAAGGCCCGACGATTAGTTATGAACCTGAACGCACCACGATAAACAGCCTCCAAAGATTTGAGGCCCTGAGAAGAAGCATAAATAATCACCGTCTTCGATCAGGGGCGTGAAAGAAGGAAAGGCTGCAAAAGAAAAAAAAGACTTATTCTTAAAATAAAAACTCAGCTTTAACTTCTGAATGTGAAGCGTAACGACGGAGAATCATCGATTGTTTGGTTTGGATTATTTATTAGTGTTGTTTATGTATTTGTATGTCTCCAGCTGCAAACAAATTTCCCTGTGGGGACAATAAAGATACCTTTGACCCTTTGATTCAGAATCTGAGATAGTTATAAGAAGAGACAGACTCGATCACATCACCCTGAGACGTAAGAATTGAGGGCAGGTTCAGAGACTTCTTTGAGTTTATCTACTCACACGTTCAATTATAATAAAAACGGGGACAGGCAGAGGTGAGCGTGCCTCTAAAGACAATTCGCAGTTTAAGAATGAGTCTTCAGAAAAAGTCTGTGTTGTTTCTCTGCACTTACTCGACTAAGCAGGCTCCTCCTTTGTGTCAGGAGTTTGTTTTATTGCTCAGTGAAACGTCTTCATGGTGAAACTCACATTTTTATCGCTGGCTGAGGCGTGCAGAGAGCGACGGAGCGAAAGGTTCAGCACAGAGATTATCATAAATATTATTCAGGAACAGAACGGTCAGATCTGGTTCACATGGTCAGAAAAGAAAGTCTGAAACTCTCAAACATTGTCACCTTGATCCACGTGAGGCTGATGAAAGACAATTGTAAGACTTTTATTTCTGTGTCTGATATTTTATTCTAAACATGCTGATGTTTCATCTTGCTCCTAAAGGTTCGACCCGCAGTCTCCATAAACTATTTTCTCATGTTGTCTCTCTCCACGCTCTTTGCTGCTGTGACGCTGTACTCCGTCGTGGGATGAATAAAGGTGTATCTCATCTTAATGAAATGTGCAAATCTATGATGGCCCGGAAGAGACGACTGCAAAAACATTTAACTGAACGCAAAATTATTTGATTAAATGGCAGTACCCCAGTCTGTAGGGACGAGGGTCGGTAACTGGAGGGTCCCTGTAAAATGGTCTGGTTGTTGGAGAGGAGCAAGGCACTAACCCCTCACCAGCTCAGGAGCATCCCCCCCCCCCACTCTGACATCTCCCCATTAGTGCATGACAACAGTGTGAGTCTGTGTGTGTGTGTGTGTGTGTGTGTGTGTGTGTGTGTGTGTGTGTGTGTGTGTGTGTGTGTGTTCAGTAACAGAGTCTTCATTAAAGATTAGCTTTAGATTCAAGCGTTCACAGGAAACCTCTTCCGGTTTGAACAAGGACACAAAAACTAAAGTTAATAAAATAAAAGAATCATTCTATAAAAGTTCTGTTAGAAACCTGAAAGCTGTTTTATTGTGACACTCTGTGTTTACTTTTTCAAAGAGTCTCCTCCTCCCTCCTGCTGAGGGTCGGTTTGTTTGTCCAACGGTTTAATATTTAACACACACACACACACATCCTTCCCTTTCAGATCTGGTAACACACACACACAGAGATTTGACGGAGCTGCTGATGGAGAAAACGTTTGGAGCTGTCGTCTTTAAATTGGTCTGATCCTCTTCTGTCCATCTGTTAACGCCGTCTCTATGAGCAGTGAGACATCTTCCTCCTCTGGATTCGTCATCAGCAGAATTTGTGTCTTTGGATAAGCTTGAGCAGAGATGGGACCTCAGACAGCAGGTAAGAGCTGCTCCAGTTCTAAATCTCATCTGATCATCAGAAACTCAAACTGATGTCAGATAAGAGCTGCTGTGACCTCAGCAGATACTTTAACATGTTGCAGAGGACAGATGAACTCTTCAGAGCTCCGAGGCCGTTTAGTCAGTGGTCAATGTCAACACACTGAGTTCTTGTTTTAATGAAAATGCTCGTTTAAAGAAGCAGCTGAAGAACTTTCTGTGATGGATAACTGACCGTAGAGACAGAATACTAAAGAGTGCAAAGAAACAAACATCGAGAAATACAGCACAGATGATTTCAGCTTCAGGGTAACTTTAAATCAGTCTATGAAGTGACCCCGCCTTTATTTGGGACCAGACGGGATAAAGAAGCAAAGCCATCTGCACACCGAGGAGCTCTGTTAAAGGATTTATGAACAAGTGACTTTCGGAGACAACATGTTGTTCTTTATAACTCTTTATTTGTGCGTGTCCTTTTAAAAATGTTTGTCAACACCAGACGAGACGATTGGGATACCATTAAATAAATTAATTAGAAATCACTTATTTCATCTTTGCTTTTTTTTATTCTGGGGCTTTATTGAAGGGACAGGTCGGAGAATCAGGTAGAGAGAGGGGGGGATGACATGAAGGGAAGGAGCTATATACATGGGGCGCACACACTAACCAATAGGCTACAGGCGCCCCATCTGCAAACCATTTCAACACTAAATGCACAGAAGCCTTTAATCGAGCGCTGCCTTTATTTATCTAAACGTGCAGCAACACCAGGCTAGTAAAAGGAGACTGGGCCTTGAACTGGAATGGGCTTGTATTAGAAGTTTTACGGTAACCGCCTTCGCCTTAGGCTGCACAGTGGTGCAGTGGTTAGTCCTGTCCCCTCACAGCGAGGAGGTTCCAGGTTTGAATCCCCGTCTGACAGGAGCCTCTCTGTGTGGGCGTTTGCATGTTCTCCCCGTGCATGTGTGGGTTCTCTCCGGGTACTCCGGCCTCCTCCCACAGTCCAAAGACATGCTCGTTAGGTTAACTGGTGACTCTAAACTGTCCATAGGTGTGAATGTGAGTGTGGCTGGTTGTCCGTCTTTATATGTCAGCGCTGTGATTGGCTGATGGCCAGTCCAGGGTGAGAGAGAGAGAGAGAGAGAGTCCAGAGTGTGTCAGAGTCAAACATCAGAGTCTGGAGGTGTGTAAGATTATAATTAAAGTTGAAATTGAGTCATGACACAGCGAAATAAAAATGCTTTTACGATCATAGAAGACGATTCATACGTCCAGAAGCTGTCAGTTAATTTGAAGTGTGTGTCATAAAGTATAATTGCTGTGAATGAATCCAAACATGGACTCGTTCTGGTCTTGTTTATGATGGTGCAGTTACCATGGTTACAAGATTGTGGATTCATTTTAAGTCCCGATCAGGAAGTGTTGTGTTAGTATGAGACGTGGCGTGTTCAATTAAACGCTAAACAGACGTTCTGTTGCCCTCTGGGGCCCCCTTCTGGACCCAAACATTAACGACACAGACCAAACTTTAGCCACTCTAGGAACTACATTGTTGGAAACAGAATCGAGGAAGTTAAAGACTTTAACCCTCTCTGTCAGTGGCTCCGTCTAAGGAGGTGAAGCGTGGAGGTCAGGGAGGGGCCCGTCTGAGGAGCAGCAGTGACGGCAGCATGTACAGCAGGCGAGGAGTCGGCCTAACAAACAACAACTCATCGTCATCCTCACCTGTGCTCTTCAACCCCAAATCAGGTACAAATACATCTCTATGTACAGATTCTAAAGAGAATTTAGATACGAGGCGCAGAATCAGATTTTGGTTTTAGTGCTAGAGTTTTCGTTGAGTTTTCGATGAGTAAAACCGCCCATTAGCGCAGGAAAACAGTCAGAGTAGAGAGAAGAAAGGGTGCGAAGAGATTCAACGTAAGGCAACTTCAGGAACCATCAACAGTCATCTTATATTAATGATAAAACCTGGTTAGGAACTTAAGAAAGAAGCCCAGCAGCTCTCCTCTGCCCACTTCCCAGAGTCAAAAAAACCCACACAAACATTTCTCCCTCTCCCTTTGTTCTCCTCAGGCCACGCCCCCTACACACCTGTATCTACCTAGCTGAAGCAGGTCACATGACCAGGCTGACTGCAGACTTCACGTGACCCCACACAGAAACATGATATACAGGGACAGTGACATCACAACAGGATTTAACCTGGCAAGGAATTCAATAAAATAATAACACGGCAGTCTCCTCCCTAACCGGTTTGGCCATGTCTCAAACTGCATCAAAGTGCAGCTGCTTGTAAATTACGTTTTCCCAACATCAACTCCAGTCTTGCTTCATAAGATGCGACATGCACAAAAGGAAGTCGGGAAGAATCAAGATCCAAGTCTTGACACAGTCATTGTGCAGGACATCGAAACTACAAAGAAGTTGTTTGTAGTTAACCATTGGTCACATAGGAAGCAGAAAGTTCTCCATCAGTGTGCAGGGTGGAGCTGTGGGGGCCGTGTGGTAGGACAGGTAGTATCAGACAGAGCCTGCAGTCAGTTTAAGATGGCATTGCTGCTTAAGGTGCTTTGATGCTGACACTACAGGCTAAGATGAATCAGGTGTAAACAAATGGTTCCTTTGAGCGTCTTTAGGACTCTGAGGGTTTGACAAAACCTCGGTCCAGGATGACAAAGATGTAGTGTGATAATATATATATATAAATCATCATGTTGTTGTTTCATGTTCAGTGTTGAAGAGACCAGTGAGCACCGAGGAGCTGCAGAGACCCGGAGGACCGTACATCAAGAAAACCTTTACAGTAAGTCAGTTCATTATCCTCAGAACAAACATGGAGTCTGGTTAGTCTCCGCTAACTGCAGAGTTTTACCGCAACATTTTCCAAACAGCCAATTTAATAACTTTAAATTGTTGCAATATGACAAAAAGAACACTTTAAGGGCAGTGAATGTTGTTTAGCAAATTCCCTGGTATTAATGTACATATGAATCATGGTGATGGAAGATTGGCGATTCTGGAGCGATAGATGAGTGGGAAACGGCGCTGGCAGGCCATCGGCAGATGCAGCTGAATTAACTGTGCCATTTCGCTGTGGAACTGGCCTGCCACAATTAACAGCGGCACGCCGGTGCTTCCGAAGCGGCATGTTCATGTGCTGCTTTTTTCGATCGAAGTGATTACATCCTGTTACTATAGTAATCTGAATATGTTCTTCAATCATAAGTTATTTTGTTTCTACACAAGTCCGGAGTCGAGTCGATGAAGGGAGGACTTTTCCTCCGCTGTAGATAAATATGTGACTTTCCTCCATGTGTGTTCAGATTGTGGCCGATGCAGTCGGTTGGGGGTTTGTGGTGCGAGGGAACATGCCGTGTCACATCCAGGCGGTGGAGCCCTGCGGCCCAGCTGCTGCTGCTGGGATGAAGGTAGGAATCATGGGAAATGGAGTTTAACTAAAGGCAGTTACATTATCCTCAGCTTGTGCAGACAGCTGAGTTGTCTAAGCTAAATTGGGAATCTTCTGTTTCTATTGTAACACAGGTGACATCTACTGGCCATGAAGGGAACTACAGAGTGTTTTTAAATTGTATAGCTTGGTTCATGTGTAGTAACTCGCTGCAGAGAGACGTTTGAATGACATAAAGCACACTCGGTGCGATCATGGTGGTCTACCAGGTTTCCTCTTTGACTAACTGTCTGGTGTCTTCGCTCTCTGAAGGTTTGCCAGTTTGTGGTTTCGGTCAACGGGATCAACGTTCTTCATCTGGACTACCGGACCGTTAGCCACCTGATCCTGACCGGACCGAAGACTGTGGTGATGGAGGTGATGGAGGAAACTGAAAACTGAGCAGTAGAAGAACCTCTGCTGCACGGGCACAGAAAAACTTTTAAGAAACGCTAACAGGTGCGAGTCCTGTCTGAGGTTTCCTGAAATATAAACCCCAGAGAAGAACTCTGGAAGAGGAAACCTTTTCAGGAACTACATGAGAAAGATTCTGTTTCTACACGGCGGCCATGTTTCTTTACATTAATAACACGGAAGATAAAACTCAAGATCATCTTTTGTGTTGAATGACGGTCACATCCTCTGTGACATTCGCTCCTTTGGACGAGTGGCCTCAGTAAGGACTCCATCTGACGGCCTTTAAAGTCGGACATGACTCTCAGAACAGGACCGATCCTGTGCACTCAAACTATAATGTTATTGTTTGTGTAGACAGAATAACGACTTCAAATGCACATTTTTAATGTTCAAGTATCCTCAGTCTGATTCCTCCACTCGAGGCCTGATTGACAGAGGGATAGCGGAGATTTTGAACTTGCTAAACTCGTGCAAATGAGACAAAAAAACATGTAATCCACAAACCACACACGGAGGGTTAAACGCTCCCCAAACTGCGCTGCGGAGCAAACAGCATCTCTGTGTTCTGATTGTCCAGATGTAAATTAGCTATTTTCCACTTTTGGGGCAAAATTGTCCCTTTGCAATGCAGATGAGCATCATTAAAAATGTCTAGCTCACAAGCACTTGCAGTCCTGCAGAATTGGAGTAAAACTTCTACGGCCTGCTGAGAGTCGGTGGTAACTGTAATAATGCTAACAGTCACATGCTAACTTTCTGGTGAACGTGACAGTTCGACCTCAGTGTGACTCTGTATGCGGAAATAAACTCTGCAAACACACTTTGACGAGACGATTAGTTATATTTAAAGGCTTCATTTGGGTTGTCTGAGGCTCAACCTCGGCTACAGTCTGGGCCACTCAGCAGGACAGGGAGGAGGGTCGTCTTTTTTTATCAGCTGGCTTGATTTTTGAAGGAAGCATACGATGTGACATCTGAACTTCCCAACAAACCGATAAAGATGTTAACCCCCCTCTCAGAGCTCGGTCAGGATGAAAGCTTCTCTCCACAATCAGATGAACACAAGAGCTATGTGTAAGAAGATCTGAAACTTCATGGGCGCTTTGTGCTTGAATATCAATAAGACAAAATGCTGTGAGCTGGATCTGAGACGGAGGAGAAAACAGACGATGGAGCTCTTAGCAGACGGGATCCATTCTTAGTGAATATGAACATTGTTCTAGTTTGGGGTGTAAATATGGCCTCGGCTTAAGTGAGAGGAAAAGGAAGATTTCTGTTCCTGTACTGCATCCATCCTTCTCTTCAGTAATGCAGCTACTCTCCTCAAATGTTTGTTTTCACTCATCTCTTAAACAATCTTTCAGTTTCTAATGAAGGCACTGTGTTCTTTGTGTCAACCTTTTTATTTTTTTTATTTAAAACTTCTTGTTTTTCTATTTTAAAGGAGCAGTATGTAACTCTGACACCTAGTGTTTAAAATGGGAACTGCAGTCCAGAATCTAAACATAGTAAAGAGCTGTCTCCCCCCGCTCCCTCCTTTTTAGAGTCGATGCTCACGCAGGTTGCCATGTGGTGGACACTGAAGCTTCAGTGTTTAGCCAGCTCTGCATCGGTCTGTAAACCTTTCTGTGTTCTAACTTCTCTCCATTTTTCAAAAGCATCTCCAATATTGATCCTAGTTTGAGCACGTTTCTGCTCGTGGAGCTTATTAGAAACATGCAGAGGCTTTTTAGGTCGGGTACAATCACTTCTATCTGAACCACTTCTCTTGTCCACTTCCATCACTGCAACACCTGTTGGTTTGACCTGATAACTGGTCTCATATTTGGCAAACCGAGGGGTGTCCAAAACGGCCGTGTGGGGGTGCCTTAAAACCGCCTACCTTCTCGAGCATTCAGGACCAGGATCTAAAGTTAGAAAGAGGACATTCTGGCTGCTGCATTGTTGTCAGAGAAGCCAGCACTTCAACATAACATGTTTCCTTGATGTCTGATCGTATAGTAAGTTCACTTTATCATTTCACTCTACACATCTTATTGAGTGGACCTTTAAGGGATGTTTCCTTTCTCTGTATAAAGCGATCACAGACGGTGTATTTATCAGAAGCTTTGAAGGTGTTGTTGTGCGTCACACCTTCACGACGACGTTACAGGACGTGAGATGATGTTGTTGACGCCTCACTGACAGTTGGTGTTTTCTTCATGAGGGCCGTTTGGACTTTTAACCCTGCGTGCCACCTCACTGCCTCGTCCACACAAACACATTACCCGTGTGTATTAAAGCTGCAATCACACACGTCCTGACACATGCCCCTCCCTCAGGCGTGTTTACTTTTCCATCCACTCTGTGCGACGTCTGATTCCCAGAAGAGGAGGAGGAGAGGATGAAGAGAGATAGATCAACAACTTCACTACAAGAGGAGGCAGAAGTGTTTTTATGTTTTGAACCCTCACACAGTTTCTCTCGTCTTTTTAAATCCTTAAACTGTATTTGTATCTTTAGTGTTTGTGTGATTTTCCTCCGCTCTGTTTTATCATGTTTTTTTCTCTGCAGGGTCTGGAGACTCACGTTGTCTCCTGGCTCCTCTCACACCTTTAAGCTCGTATTAAACGTCTGGCTGCATGTTGTTACAAAGACCGGGTAACGAGGAAATCTTCACTATGCTGTTAACGGTGAAGGTTTCATGAGATCTACATGCAAACAGTGTGCTCTTAGAGTGTGACATCAAGGAAGATGAAACTGAAGTTTCTATTTTATATGATTTAAACTTTTGTGCGGCGTTCTGCTTGTAACTGCTCAGCCTGTCATTTCTGTTTACCTGGCATTGTGTTTGATTGGTTGGTTGTGTTCATGTGGATTACAAAAATACAAATAAAAAAAGGCAGGAAGGTTTCATTATTTTCTGGTTTTGTTTTGTCTGGTTGTTTGAATTTCATAACCTGTTTTTATTTTGACATCCATCCCTGTGTGTGCATTCCCCTCGTCTTTAGTGTTTCCTGTTTTAATTTGGAGTTCTTGTCCCCGGTGTTTCTTGTCTTTCTTCCTCCCTTTCTCTGGTTTCACCTGTGTCTGATTGACGCAGTGTGGATTTAGGGTACTTCTCATGTCTCTTATGGTACTTCCCTCTCTTAAATTGCGTCCACATTTCCTTCACTTGCTTCCCTCACTTGCATCTTAGTCCCTCCCACCAGAGATGCACGGAGAGACGTCAGGAAACGAATCAGAGGAGAGAGGAAACAAGGAAATCTGTTTCTGCGTGCCAGAGTTTGCCGGAAGTTTCTGATTCATTAAAATCAAGGAATGATCCAATATTGCGGCCTCGATCTTTTGTTTTTGTATTGAAACAATTATAAATATTATTAGACTTTCACTTAAACATTAAAAAAAATCAAATCTCAGTTTAAGACCAAATAAAAAGAGTCAGCAGACTGCAGAATGGCAGAGTTTTATTCTGCAGGTGAATCGAAGCTTGAACCGAAGGTAATTGGACTTTTTTGAATATCCAGTTGCCTCACGCAGTTGGATCACGCTTCGATGACCATGACCGGAACGTCTGGGTGCCTCCTCAGATATTCTGCAGGTGAGGAGGAGGTCAGAGCTGCTCCACAGTAAGGTCATATGAACACATCATTGACGAGGCAGTTTGCAGTTCCACCAGAAGGTGGCAGCACTGTCTCTGTTTGATGCAGCAGTCTGTCACGCTCTCTGCTGTGAGTGCTTTGTTTTTGGTATCAATGACATCAGTGCAATATCAGATTAATACACAAGGTATATGTAAGACTCGCAGACGGCCCTGCAGGGAGGTGAACTTGATGCATCCTGGTGTTCACTTCCACTGAAGTTATTTACAACATTTTGTAAAGCATGGGAGCTGCAGAGCTGCAGAGATGCAGAGTGTCCCTGGGCAGGCGGGCAGTGGGCAGGTAATATTGCGTCTGTGTGCACTTCTGCTGGCGTCTTCAAGCTTCAAGCTAACTTTGGGAATCAAGGTCGATGGATTTGATGGACAGAAGCACAAAAAGCTTCAAGTCAGAGACACTGACACAAACCATGGAGCTGAGAGGATGTGCAGAGTTAAGATAAACTTTGATTGTGGTTGCTGTGGTTATCATAATACCAGAATTTTAAATGTTGATGTTACACATATTAAGAATCGAATGATAGCCGAACAATACCATGACGGTTTAATACCACGGTAACAAAAGTAGAAGTCCTAGGCACCAATATTGGACCAAACACTGCAGAAAAACTTCTGCTCATTGTCTAAAATGCACAAATAGGCCTACGTATTTCCTGCAGTTGAGGCCGTTGTGCGAAAGTTAGTCTGCACTTCTTAACCGTGTGTATCACCAAGCTTTTACCCAACGACACATTAAACAACCTGAGAGTGTCAGAGAAAGAGAGACAGAGACTTTAAGGGATGTTCATTCTGTGAAATCCAGACACAAAGAGGATTCTTTCAACTTTTCTTAATTATATAATATCAGAACGTCCTAACATGTGATCATGTTGTGAAATCCTGGGGTGGGGCTTTCTGCTGTAACTTTCCTGCTTTTTCAAAATGACTGTCATTACTGACATTCTCTGCCGTCAGCTCAGGGGATCCTCCTGTGATTTAGGCCAAGTTCATAAAAAAAGAAGTCAGAGTTCACTGAGGCAAGAGGTTGTATGCAGGGTTCGAGAACATAAATTGTAAGACCTGAGGGCGTGAGGTGAGAGGAGGCCGAGTACAGTACGAGCTCTCACATTTCACAACCTCATCTTACTGGTTTCTCTCTCATCTTTGAATATTTCTAACTGCTCTGGTACAAAGAAAAGTTGTTCCTGCTCATGTTTAGATTGATTTTGAATATAAAATCAGCTCAAACTCCTCATGAGATCCTTGAGCTCCAGGGAAAGGGTTCACTCCTCTCTTCCTGTCCTGATCACATCCTCTCCTCTCGCTTCAGTGATAAGTGAGGCGGAATGACATTCCTGAAAGTTTCAGAGGATTTCAGGGAATTCCAGGTGAGAGGCTTTGCACTCGGAGCTTGTAGAGACACATACAAGAAAAACACGAGAGTGGACGGACTGGAGGAAGGATCAACGTTAAACTGCGAGGCGATGATTTAAGGGATTTGTCTGCCATGTTGTCTCAAAGCAACACCCCGAGCCAACCATTGATTTCAGCATCAGCTGAATGAAATCATGTCTGTGGGTAAAGTTTAAATCCTGCACGATGAGAGAAATATGTGTTAAGTATTGATGAACAGTGGGCCACTAAACTAAAAAAAATAAGATGTCTGTAGTCTGTGTATCCAAGAAAACATGATGAAGGTTAAAGCTTTAGCTGACGGTAGCCTAGTGGTGGGTGCAAATGTCTCTCTCTCTCTCTCTCTCTCTCTCTCTCTCTCTCCTGGTTTCTGACTCTATCCACTGTCCTATCTAAAAACAAATAAAGACAAAAAAGCCCAAAACTAAGTCTTAAAAAAATCTTTAGCTGACTGGGCTTTCTCTTTTCTGCAGCTCGGATCATAACATGAGCGTTGACAGCTCGTGATGACAGAGATGAAATGAGGTGTGGCACTGCACAGCAGCCAAACTGAACTTCAGGAATGATTTCAGTCGCTCCAGCATCATCCGCTCATGCTGTGATTGTGTTGGACCGCTCGATAAACAGAATGTAAACCAGATGCTGCTGCAGCGAGTGAGAGGAGAAATGAGATGAGCAAAAACAAGAGGCCACAAAATTACCCCTGAGATGCCCTCGAGCAAAAACTAAAGGTGTACTGAGCAGCTTTCAGACAGGAAGTTAACCTTTTACTCTCTGAGTCCTCGTACAGTTTCTAACGTTTGACTGCTGATATCGGCTACAGACGTCTTCCCACCGTCTTTGGATTTTCTCTGGGTTTCAAATGAGAAAAAGGTCTTCACTGTAAAAATAGTAAAAGTAAAGATAACAATCTCTTTGTCCTCATAACTCCTTTTTCTGAACTAAAACTGGTTCACGAACAAATCTCCAACCAGCACATCGACCCTCATCGTTAATAAGCAGCAAAATCACATCTATAACATCAGGACTTCTGACTGAGAGAGGACAAAAGGGAAGTAAATACCTCTCGGGCTCTGAGTGGCTAACAGGTACATGTTTGAGAATTGCTTCCTTTGATTGCTCCGGCTAGTTGCAAAGTGAGCTGTAATGATTGTAATGGAGCTCTCCGGGAGAAAATGCTCTCAAATTGCCTGTTTTGGTCCCTGACAGGCTCAGGTTGTTACTCTGAGTGTGAGACAAATTTACAGAAAGGATCCCTGCTGAGAGAGAGAGCTTTTTGTTGATTTTTTTTAACCACAAACAGCCGGTACATGAGACATCAGACGCCTTCGTTTTAGCGTGCAGCACACATGAGACTCTGCTCGTCATCCATCAGGACGTCTGTTTGTGTGTTTTAAAAGTGAAGCTTGAGTTCTGCACGACGTGC